GCAGCAGAAAACGATTGATTTTCATTTATCAATTTTTCAAGATAAGTAAATAAGTATTCTATTTTTACTTTTAAAACAAAAACTTGTAGAATTTATCTAATTATAATTGTAATCATATATCACAGTTGTTCGCGCGTCTGTCAACTTGTAAAACATATCTGGCATTTCGTCGTTGGGAAACATCCTGCTTTACAGAATAATTTCGCCAGAGCCACGGAACGATGTCGGATTTTACGACGTGTTAGCTGACAAAAAGCACGCGCCGTGCAATTTCGTCGAGTATATTGCCTGCCACAAGATAAACGAGATTTTGGTGGCCATTATTCGTAAGTTTGACTGACCGACAAATAGTCGAAACATTCATAAAAAATATTTTTACATCTTCTTCGCGAGTAGCTTTTTTTTGAGAGGCTCGATTTTTTTTTTTTACAATTTCTTATGCTCTCCTTTCTCCTTCGCTCGAAATCGTTTGGCTGTAAACGACCCAATCCACTTGAATTAGCAAATCTTATCATTGATATTGTCATGTTTTAAAAATTATCAAAATTAATGTAGAAAATTGCGTGACGCGTGACTTGATAATATCAAAATTCCGTCAACTGATTTTTACATGAAATAGAGATGATAAATATTCGAAATAATAAAGTAAAATTCGCTTTCCTTGTTTATTCCGGTTTATTTCGCTCGCGCATTTTGAAGTAATTCCGAAATAAAATGTCTCGATATTAGGGGAAGCGTTGGACTTTCCGGTAGTTTACCGTCTCGCCGCGTTTACGTTCGCGTAATTTTGAGTTAATGTCCTCGGTTAAGCACGGCGGCTACACGGTGAGCTACGAGATACGTGCCTGTTTTCGGCGAATAAACGCTTCGTTTATCCTCCGATGCTTATCAGACCGGGAGAGATTATCTCACGCCCCCGCAATTCACAGTCCGGATAGATAACCGTCGGTAGGATAACCGTCGGTTGCACGTATCTCCGTGGGCGAAGACAATCCTGCCTGAACCAATTTTCGCAGGTTTCTTTCTTTTAATTGTGCTCCTCGCGAAAATAAATGATTTCTACAAAATTTTATTGGACCATCGGTATTATTTCATCATTTCGTCACGAGACTTCACGAAAAGACTGCCGAAAAGATAAGCCGTGCAATTAAAAGTTTTCCACGAGATTGATATATCATCTTATCTGTAAATCACAATCACCTGCAGAAGTGCGTTGTTCGTTTACGTAGTTGCGAGATGTATAGAAATTCGTTATTTTAAGCACACGAGAGGGAAAATTACAAGATTTCACGATTAAAACTTTTGATAAATTCTTTTGATAAACATAAAGTTCTCATATTGCTAGGAGATATCTTTGAAAGCTTTATTTGTTTCTCGTTACGTTCGCTCAAACACAGAAAAATCAATATAAACATAAATATAAACGTTGCGAGATTCGACAAACAGAAATTCTATTATAAGTATGTTCTTGGAAATACTGCATAAAATATCCGCGAAGAGAAATTTAAATTTGGATTTTCTTCTAGCAAAAAGGTTTCCACCGGATCGCCGTAAGACATATCATAGATTACATCCCGTAATTATCAAATTTTTTAAATTTAATATCTTGCTCTAGGCTTACAATTAAAATCTTGTCGAATAAAAAAATTCGTCCGTCATTAGAAGCAAAAAATGTAAAATTTAATTAAATATAATTTATGTAATTTTAATTAAATTTATAATATGTAATATGTAATTTTAATTAAATATTTGAAGTTTAATTAACGAAACTTAATTTCAATCGTACGTCATTTGAAAACTGCTTGCAAACTGATATCTAAAAGGTAAACAGGTAGGGAAAAGTCATTCATGTTATGCAAGTTATTCAGTAGCATTGAAACTGAATGCGGGCAAATTGAATGATGCAAGACAAGTGTAGCACTTTGCATGCTGCGGATAAGTGGATGATCGATGTGGAAAATCACGCGGTATGCGAAAATTGCAGTTGCGAAGCAGTTCGAGCCTTCACACAGTTGCGAGCATCGAGCATTAAAATTACGCGGTATGTGGAAATTATACCTTAGAAGTTTGAAGGTTTCGTGAACGAAGTTCAACGCGGTGGCAACCGGTGGCAATTAGCCCGGAGCTACTTGAAGTCGCTACTTTGAAATTATTATACAAAATTGCTCGATCGTGATGTGTTTAATGGCGTCATCTCATTTGACCATTCATGTCTCGCGAAGAATTATCAACGGTGGGTGCGAGATAAGCCTCCTTCCGCCGCGAAACTTTGCGATCAATCACGCGGATACGTGGAGAGAAACTTACAATTTCATTGCCGGTAGAATCACGCGAACTTTCTGTTCGAGTTCCACACATCGGAAGTACGAATCACGTTTCGCTGTAGTCTCTAGATTAGAAGATTTACCCCCTGGTTTCCCACTGGGATCGAATATTCCGCTTATCTTGATTTTGCCGAGGGCAATCGGCGCGCAAAATCGAGTTTTAATAAAAATTTAATTCCTTTAATTAGGACACGGCAAACTGAACCTAACTACCTTAACCTACCCTAACCTGAATCTCAATAATTACAATCGCAAGTTCGCAAGTTCACATTTGGACCGATAAATCATGAATTATCGTCTTTTCCGTTTATTTATAACTTTTGCATACGCGACATTCTCAAAAGTGCCAGCGGAAATTGGATCAATTTTGAATAAAAATTTATACGCACGCTACTTCCCCTTTCTTTCTCTCGCGCATTGCGACGTGCTTTAATGTTATTTTAAAGATCAATAATGTAGCATAAAAATAACGAGGGTGGCTCGTACGGATGTACGTATCCGTACGTTCGTTATTACATTTCAATAATTTCACGTTATCAAATCGAAAATTGCCGATATATATACATTTTCGCAGTTGTCCGAATTAATTAGCGAAGAAACTAAGGGCTATTAAGGTCGCGCATTGTGACGCGCGCGTCATTTCCGCCGCTCGATAAAGGTAACATAACGCGCCGGGAGAACTATTTTCCCTCGGTAAATGACCTCGTCGGATTGAAAACCGGAATGGACGTGAGCGGAATCGATTGCGCATTGATTATTCCTATTATGGTGCGATCGGTATGCCCGATGCGATTCGCGCTTTTACGTGCGCGGTTAAGGGTAGGCGTACAACTCGTGAAAGGCGTTTGCCTGCCGTGCATAAAAAAGGGAAAGGAAAAAGAAGAAACGGAAGTATACGAGGAAGAGAAACCACGTGATCGGAAAAATGAAATCTTAGGGAAGGCTTAGGTAGACGACAAAGCCCCCAATCAGGGGGCTGCTCATATTGTGTCACAGGATGGCATGAGCAATTGGAACGGGCAATTCGGCTATTTTTCGATAAATGTTTTCGAAACTTGCGAGACAAGAAGATAAAAGTTGTATTTCTATGTTGAACGAACCTTAGCAGCTATATTAATATCCTAACGTTTCTTTGTTAAAATTTGAGCTTAATAAATGATTTGAAATATATCGTACCTTTATATCTACGGATTATCAAAGTTATATATAAATTTATGTTTTTACTCGGTTAAAAGCTAGATATATAAAAAAAAATAAACAATTTTATAAAAAAAAAAAAATAAAGTAAGATACTTTAAGTATAATACTTTTGATACTTTCCGAAGCAAAATAAAGTTAAAAAAAATGAAAACTTTTTAAAAATCCTTTTAAAGAAATTAACCTCAACTGCCTACACGCGAATTTTGCTTTCTATTCAATAAATATCCGCGAGCTCGTCTTTCCTTCCAAATCAGATCACGTCTATTTACCTTTTATCACGAATTTGATGAACGACGCGATTTTAGCAAATCACCAAGCCGCCGCAACGAGATTCCGCGAATCACCGACGAAAGGTTAATCTAATTTTGGCGAAAGCCGCGTGCTTTTCAATTCGTTGCTCGATGCGCGTACGTACACCGCCCTCAACGGCGGCGGCTCGCACACATGTATGGTAGGTGTGTCCGTGGCTCATCGCGTTATTTGTTTATTATGCCAACGTTCTTGCCTGGCTTATATTGTGCCGAGCGTGTAAATGCGCGATCCGCCGTCGCTGCTCTCGAAGCTGCGGCGATACACAGATCCTCCGCGCTTTTCGTTTCTACGCCTTGCCGCAAAGTCGGACGGAAACCTCGCGACGACGCACCGAGTTATCTCTCGAATGATCGCTCCCGAACGATCGCGAACGAATGATATCGCGCACGTTAATACGTACGCGGCGCGCGCGAGTGCGAGAGAAACGGATCATCGCCGAACGAACGCTTGAAATTCCAAACGTGTAAAAAAAAAAAAAAGAAAAGAACGCACGACGATTTTATCGCGCTTCATTTCAGGTTAACTGTGTGAATTACGGAATTTGCCGTATCTCGCGAAATAATATTCCCCGGGGAGAAGTGGCCGTCGTCCTTCGGTGGCTCCTTTTTCGTTTAATTAATCGCGGGCTCTAAACTCACCGTGCTGCGCGAAAATGTGTGTGCGCTTTAATTTTTCCCCTGATAACATTCGTAAATTTGCGAATAAAATTCTGGTGATCTGTATCCGCAATTCACGCACAATTAGCACGATATAAGAGAATTTCGACTGAACAATTATTCGACGAATATACGTAATCATATTACAAGAGGAGGAAAAAAAGTGAAAACGTTAATCGCTATGATTTATATGACATTTTTTTATAAATGCGCCTGAAAGTTGACATAATTGTGAGTTTAAATTTATAGCGGGTTAGCTGTGTGACACATTTTAAAAAAATAATTTAATAGCAAAAATTTTAAAAATTAATATAAAATGTTAAATAAAATAATAAACATATTCGTTTGCACATTCCTTTTTTTTCTAATAACATTTGCTTATTACTACGATAATTAAACATTAATTGTTACATTAAATGTTAAATAAAGTAGCGTCATCGTTACGAGATGCGAACTCGATGCGACCGGCGGTTTTTAATTATACGGAAATATTTTACGTGCCCTTTTTCGCGCGTAGCATTTAATTAAATGTCGTCGTTTTTATGAACATAATGTCCATCTTAATATAATGACGTCTACAAATTTTACAGTGGAATTTTAGCAAGCTTTTGCTTGTTTGGACCTCTTCCTAGAAAGGAAAAAACTTTTTGTAATACATCTTTTGGCATTCCTCGAGTCGAGTACGCGAAAGTGAAGCTTTTACGTCAAATGTCTAAAGGCAAAGGAGCAATTCCGGGAGAGAGAGAGTGACTTTTTATTTCGTTTAATTTCAAGTCAAATAATCAAGGACGCTTATAATCGCAGATAAAAATTTACCGAAACGGCAAAGGTCATCTTATAACTCGGCGACAGAGTGTGTCACGTATCATCAAACTGGATCGCCTTTGTGGCAAAGTGAACTTTGGCTCGGAAAAAACTTTACGTTACCGTCAGTGCCATGCCGCTTAAATCGGAGCTCTCGTCGAGGGACAACCTTAATACCCTCGCACAGCCGGTTGGTTTCCTGAAAGAATATTCGCGATGGCGATGTTATAACCGCCTGGGTAACCGCAATATCGTCTCGTGTGGTTACGCGCCGCGGATTTTGCATGAAATCGTCGATCGAGGCGAAACGTTTAGACAGATCGAACTCGCATATATGCGAGTTTTCTCCGAGTTATGGCCGCTCGACGGCTACGGCATTTCTGCTCGCGCGCCTTCGAAGCGCAAAATAGCGCTCGTTGGACGTTATCCCATTTCGCATCCGGCGCGTATCTGCTGCCATCCGGCGGAAATACAATTTGAATGCGATAGCGAAGCAAGGTGTTCGAGCATCGTCAGACTAGATTTACGCGCGAATTGTTGCGACTGCGCGATTTAAAAAGACAGAGAGAGAGAGAGAGAGAGAGAGAGAGAGAGAGAGAGAGAGAGAGAGAGAAGAGAGGAGG